AACTACACATAATACATTTATAGAAAATATCATGCACCAAATGTTGTGAACATCCAATATTTCCCTAATTAATTTTTCTTTGGAACAGCTGGAACTACTGCTTAGCGCTTTACGCTAACCGAGCGCCTCGCCGTATACTAGCAGAGAGCTCTTGTGGTCAGACGAAGAACTGAATTGCTAGTGAGTTGAAGCGCCGCTAGAGTACTTCACTGTACAGTTATACCTGTTCCAAGAGGATCTCTTCAAACAAAATTTCATTGACAATAAGTTAATTTATTAGCCGTTGTGTCTATTTCTCCAACTTTGATGGGCGGATCATTGTTTTGCGATCATTTTTCTTGGTAAAGAGTCAGAAAATATTTGTAGCATTGAAGCGGGACGAATTTGACAAAATATGACCAAGAAAAAAGACACATTTTGAAAATAAACACTTTAGTGGCTGGAAATCGGTGGATTATATTCAGCGGCAGAATTAACTAGAAATAATGTTTCTACTTTCCTTTACAAGCGCAATATTTAAAGTTTTAAAATATTCTACCGCATTCTATCTTATAGAATCAAGTTAACACAATCCTAACTGAACCCATGTATTTACATCGCACGAAAGCAAGAAGTCTACAAAAGTTTTAACCGAAAAGTATTTCATACGCACGAAGAGAAATTGAAAATCCCAAAAATACGGTAGATAGATACAGAAAATCAAATGTAAAGTATTGTTTCATCAAATTCCTCTCCAAAAATAATAAAATGAGGTATGGATCAAAAGAATTGTGGTTCAATAAAATCATTATATTAAAGGAGTGCACGATCTCGAAGTAGATTTCGTTAGTGAGGTCAGGTAGAATAAACCTTTTTTATCTTAAGATATTATGTAGTGATAAATTGATGTTGTTCAGACGCAATTTTGTTTTATATCGTAGAATCTCAAGCGGAGAGAAGACAATAGTAAGCAAGTTGATTCCATCTGTAAGATTATTAGTTGAATATAACTCAGAATCATTACCTTAATGTGACCTTTTGTTATAACTATTGCATATATTGGATAAGTTACCAATAAATTCGTTTCAATAAAAATGCTTAGATCTGTGTTTTCGTCAGAGTGGTTTGTTGTCAAGGTAAATGCATTATCCGTACAGAATGCGTTCCAATATTAAGCAAATATTTAAAAAAAATACATGTTGTCCTCTTGCCTAGTTTCTTCAGAGTATTAACCAAATATCATTCAATAGACGTAATCATATGAATTTATACATGCACACTCTTGAATTCTCAGTCAGTTTTATACAACAGTATTTATCTAATAAAATGAATAGTTTTGAACCAAATTAACTTATTAATGTAGCATTTAATTCTGTGTCTGAATATGTATTATTCTAACTTCAGGAAGCCCATAGCTCATAATATCCCTGAGGTGGAATTATTCCGACTATAACCTCGTGACATAGACTTTAGTCAAATTCTGCAATTACAAAGAATGACAATGGGTCGTTCACGACCCACAATGTACAGAGAAAATCACTATTCCAGATACGTGCACGAAAACAATTGTAACTTGAAGTATTTATCCCTCTAATGCTGCCCCGTCAACTTCGATACGTACCCTCCGACTGAAGCATAGGCATATAGAAGCTACGTATGATTTTAGATGAGTCGAACAGACGTAAGTCATCAATACGTCCTGTCCAAGAGTGAACTATGCATTGGTGATCTGGCCTAAATCGACATCTAGCAGCAGGAATTAAAAAGCTTGCTTATATGTTTCATTTAAAATGTCTTCGTCTATTGAAGACAGAAAATTTGCAAATTGGTGCAAAAGGTGCAAATATGATTTGACCAGAAATGTGGTTACTTACACGTAACAAGGGGCAGTTGAAGAAGTTAGTTACATACTCAGCGGTGAAACTATTGCACAGATAATCGCGATTATATTCAGAGTTACACGTTAATCGTGATTAGCGATAAACATAGACGAGTTCCGAAATGATACACAACTGCATTTAGTAAAAAATAGACATTAAAATATATTTCAATAGTATGTATAAGCGTATATAAATAAATACAAGGCCTGCGCTCGGCAGCGCGGCCCGGTGCAATGCCGTAGTGCGTGAGTCGGGGCAGGTGAGGGAGAGAGGTCGCTTGCTACGCTTCCAGCTCGGCGTCCGGCTTGAAGGACAAGCTCTTCTTGGCGCTGGTGGGCAGGGACTTGCTGGGCCCGCGGTCCTCGGGGATCAGCGACATACGCCCGCCCTTGGGCGTCGCCTGCCGACACCACACACACGCCACGCTCGCCCCGCGACACTACACGGCTCGCACAACACTAACAGGTTGTGGAGAGCGCAGCGGAAAACTTCGCGTCACCTACTATTGACCGTAATGTAACGTAGTGGTTTGTATGCTCGAAAGAAAATAAAATGAATGTCAATAAGGGTTTCTAAACAATAGTGTTTGAGACCCGAGATATAATACACGATTGGCGCCAGAGCCACGATTATATTTCGCTCGTAGAACTGCGCCACTCAACCTGTCGGCCTTGTGACGCAACATTTTCTACTCGCAAAATACAATCCTGCTTTTACCATTCACGAACAACAATTATTATTCTATGATTAATAACTGGAGAATGGGCAAGTTTTCAAGTCAGCAAACGCGAAAACGTCTTACAAAGTGGATTTTCTTATGCTGTCTATAATATAGCAGTTCGCTGTGAATGCAACCGTAAATTACCCCCACAATGCACAGCTGTAGCATGCGACAATAGTACGCAATCGTAGCATTCGTCTATCGCATGCGACAGTTGCACGCAACAGTTGCACACGACCACCACCACCACCAGCAGCAGCGCAACCATACGCACCAGCGCCGACGTGGGCAGCACGCTGGGCCTGCGCTTGGGCATCTCGGGCACCTCCTCGTCGCCCGCGGCCGCGTCCAGCTCGGAGCCGCGCTCGGAGCCCGGCGCGGACGCCGCGTCGCGGTCGGCCTCCTCGTCCGAGTCGGAGCCGGCCTCGGCGGCGCGCAGCCCCTGCTCCTTGGCCGCCTGCTTCGCCATCGCCTCGGCCTGCCGCTTCTCCTCCGCCTCGCGCTCGCGCTCCTCGCGCTCCGCCCGCCGCTGCCGCGCGCGCTCCTCCAGCCCCGGCGGGATGATGACGCGCGACGTGCGCGGCTTCGACAGGTCCGCCACCGACTGCGCCGCGCCCTGCCGCACCGCCAACTTATACCTTAGATTCATTTACACTCAAAAATCCCTTCGCGCGCCTTTCTTAGGAAGGGAAAGTAAAGCCGGCTGTCCCGCGTTAGTAGATTTACAGCATGTAAAAGATCCTCAAGCCTAAACGATACATCTGAGGTAAATTTAGATCGCCTGTTTCGAAGCCCGACTGACACCCCCCTTTGCCTGCCAGTGGGTGACAGGAGCGTATCGAAATTTGCGTCGTCAGAGCGGGCCTCATGGCCCGAGCCTAGCCACATAAAATAAGGCATCAATTCAACTTTAGTTCAATTCGATTCGATTCGATTCAATTCAATTGATTTACAGTGTCCATTGACAAATCATCAGCTATTACAGTGTTTTCGAATCGGGAGCTTGAACGTCAATACTCTACGTGTCATCAATTTGCATTTATGTAAGTAATGCATTTTTCTCAGGGGTGGCGGTGATCTTCCGCTGGATGATGAGATCCGCCGCCGACCTCACGGGGTTTTCCCCAAGTAGGTGCGTAAGTAAGGGGTGATGATAGGACGAAGAAGAGGAAGAAAAGATCACGCGCATGTGTGCATTATCGAAGTCATTAGTTCTGCAAGTGTAGTGCCTGCATTCGTCCCACGAACACTTTATTTTTGAACGTTTGACAATGAGTCGTAAAGTAATATTTCTCGTTATTATAAAGCATTATGAAAAGAAAAACGTTAAAAAGAGGAGAAAGTTCAGAAGCTTCGCCAATGGCCAATGCGGCCCGGGGTACGCACGAGGTATCCGGAGGTGGACATCTCGAGGCCGGCCTTGGTGTCGCGCTCCGTCAGCAGGCGCACCAGGTCGTCCTGCCACTTCCTGGCGGCCGTCTTGCGGTCCGTCTCCAGGCGCTGGCGCAGCATCGGCACCAGGCGGCGCGCCACGTGGCGCCAGGGGCCCTTGTACACCTGCCACACGGCGCCAACCACACCCGTCAGAGGACTTCTACAGACTCTCTACAACGAACTGCATTAAGAGCAGAAATGCGATGCATCCTTCCAGACTTGAAGAGAAACTCGCAAATGAGTGAATTAAATTAATGAATGGGTATGCGAATGAATGGCTGGAGGGGAGCACAGATTTGGGGTGTATTGTGTGATTAAGTGGGTGAATGGATGTATGAGTGAATGGTTGTGAGGATGAATGGGTATATGTGTAGATGGTTGTGTGGATGAATATGTGTAGATCTTTGTGTGGGTGAATGGGCAGATGAGTTAATGGGGGTTGAATGGATATGTGGCTGAATGGACTTATGCGTAAATGTATGTGTGTGTGTGTGTGTGTGTGTGTGAGTGTATTAATATATGCATGCATGAAAAAATGAGTGAACGAATTAATAGATGTGCATGTGCATGTACGTGTGCTTGTGTGTGAGTGTGGGGAGTGAATGGTCATGCAAATGAATGGATAAATTGGTGCGGTAAAGGTTTTTGGATGAAAGGGTGTGTGAGTAAATGAGTATGTGAGTGCATGGGTATGCGAGTAAATGTGTGTGTGAGTAAATGGGTGAGTGGTAAAAGGGTACGGGCGTGAATGAGAGACAGTGTACGAGTGAAGGAGCGAAAGAGTAGTTAAGTAGTTGGTGAGTAAAACAATCATTTGATGTGTACGGTAATAAATGAATAAATGAATGAATGAGGAAATGAATAAATGAATGAATGAGGAAATGAATGAATGAATGAATGAATGAGGAAATGAATGAATGAATGAATGAGGAATTGAATGAACGAATGAATGAACGAATGAAGAATTTAATGAATGAATGAAGAATTAAATGAATGAATGAATAAAGAATTGCATGCATGAATGAATGAAGAATTGAATGAATGAATGAAGAATTGAATGAATGAATGAAGAATTGAATGCATGCATATGTGAATGAAGAATTGAATGAATGAATGAATGGATGGATGAAGAATTGAATGAATGAAGAATTGAATGAATGAATGCATGAAGAATTGATTGAATGAATGAATAATTGAATGAATGAATGAATGAAGAATTGAATGAATGCATGAAGAATTGAATGCATGCATAAATGAATGAAGAATTGAATGAATAAGGAGCTGGAGGGCTCGTGCCCACCTCCTCCGTCTCGTCGAGCGAGAGGCGCGGGGTGGCGGGCGGCGACTCGCTCTTGGCCTTCTCCACCGCCTCCTTGGCCTTGGCCGCCTCCTCCTCCTCGCGCTTCTTCTCCATGTGCTCGCGGGCGTCCATGGCGGCGCGGTCCGCCTCCAGCGCGTTCAGGTAGCGCTGGCGCATGCGCAGGTTCTCCTGCGTCACCTCCGTGCTCACGGGCACCATCAGCTTCTCCAGCACCGTCGCGCCCTCCTCCTCCGTCTCCGGGAAGAGGAACGGGTAGATGTCCTCCGCGGGCGTCGCGTCCAGCGCCACGTCCTGCCCAACCACACCACACCACATTACACACCACACTACACCAATATTATTATTATTACTATTATTATTATTATTATTTATATTATTATTATTATTATTATTATTTATATTATTATTATTATTATTACTACTATTATTATTATTATTATTATTATTCGCGTATGGGCCACTATTAACCACACAACACATTTCTCTTTCCTAGCCTCAATTGTATTCTTTGCTGTGGCGATCAATGTGTGGAATTATGGGGTTCAGTCTTTCAGCTGCTTCCCTTGGTTAAGCCAAGCTTGTTAACTTAGAATATTAATGAAGGGAAATAGGGTGACATTATTATTATTGTTATTATTATTATTATTATTATTATTGTTATTGTTATTGTTATTGTTATTATTATTATTATTACTATTATTATTATTGTTGTTGTTGTTGTTGTCGTCGAGTTGTCGCACCTGCACGGCGATGGGCGGGTAGAGTTCGGCCACGTGCGCCGGCAGGGGCTCCTCCTCGAACTCGGCGTCGAAGCGCTCCTCCATCGTGGGCTCGAGGCGCACGCTGCCCTCCTCCAGCGCCCACGCCTCCTCCTCCTCCTCCTCCTCGCCCGCGCGCTCCTCCTCCTCCTCCGCCTCCTCTTCCTCCTCCTCCTCCTCCTCCGCCTCCTCCTCCGCCGCAGACACCGACGACGGCGGCGACTCCATCCACCAGTTCTCGTACAGCTCGGGCCGGAAGCCCACGTTCTCGTCCCAGCCCTTGCGGCAGTTCTCCTTGATCCACTGCATTTGGTCCTTCGTCGGCACTCTAGGTGGGGGGGGGGGCGGAAAACAATCGTGCAGTTTCTTAATCATTTTTTTAAAATTGGATTTCATTATCTACTTCAAAATCGTTAGAAAGATTCAAGATTCTAAAAATAGTATCTTCTCACTTTCTAACAGGTTTATTCTGTCGAATTATAACGTTGACGTATTCTCGATTTTATTGCAAGTTCATCTCCGAGCTCTGCCTGATTGACTACAAATACGTTTAAGCGATTTGATGGCCACTGTCTAGATTTCTAATATCTCCAGTAAAATATATATTTTAATTGTCACCTTATTTAAATAATTTAATATTAAGTACTTGTAAAACAATTAATCTTACTTTCCACATCCCAATATACATTACAGTAGACTACATTATATAAGAACATGTACAGCTTACTAAATTATCAAAGCGTAATTTGATCATTAGATTAAACACAAGAATTATGACACTAGAATGTATATTATGAAATGACGTTTTTCAGCCTTGTATTTCTCGAAGTAACTTGTACAGCTGCCCGAATCGCGTCAAGCGAAATCTCCCCGGTACCAGAAGACGGAGCGGAAGGGATCTAACACAAGATGAACGTGAGCAATTGTTATACAACAGCGTACTTATGCCTTGATTTGAAATGACTTTTCAAAAAGAGCAAACTGCGTCCTGTGTTGCTCACGTGTTCAAATGATACTGAAGGAATGACGATACACTCAAGAGATGCCCGGTGAAAGTTACTTTTTCTAAAAAAGAATTAAAAAGTGTGATGATACTCTCCACATAATTTCGAAGTTCTTCCGTAAAAAGATGGTTATACAAGAACTCATTTTTAAAAGAAGGGAAGAAGATTTTTCTCTTAACCAGATAACACGTTTTACATGCCCAGGCATACATAAACACACTGTTGGATAGAAATATGTAGAACGGATTACGTTAGATGATTTTGCTTCGATCATTACATTGTAGTCTACATGAGAAATGTGCTTCCCATAGCGAAGCTAAAAGCATTTACTAAATGTGTTAATTAAAATTGTTTGTGTTTCACAAATGTTATTTATAAATAAACTTGAGGTTGAGAGGTAATTATAAACCACAATCTATATAAAATGCATTTACTTATTATTATTATTATTATTATTATTATTATTATTATTATTATTATTATTATTATTATTATTATATTTACTTAACTCTACAATATTCAATTGAATGAAGTGAGCAAATCGAATATAGGGCATGTATGTGTGTATGCTAGAATAAATTTTGTAACTGACTCTTTTAATGTATAATGATACGCTATTTCCATAAAATTGTGGTTTAAAAATCATGAGCAACACCTTTCAAGTAAAAAGATTTACATAACCTTCAACGACTCCTCAACTTTAATTTGTTTATTTATTGTACAACTTCAACCGCTTTATTATTGAGACTTCTGAATATTAATAAACCACGAGCACTGTACGGTCAAGTGCAGACACATCCTTGAACATACGTAACTAGATATGATAACATGAACGTTGATTTGAAAAACCAGCAGTCACAAATACTTTTTGTGCGTAAAAATTACGACCATCCTACATAATACAACCGTTACAATTTATATTCTCTACAATTAAAAAATGGTAAAATAGATGTGAATACCTACGTACCAATTGCTAATTTAACTAGCAGTTCATTTTACTCACAGTCCAACATTGGGGTAGATAATTTAATTTTGCACCGTAACCTTATACTACTTCAGAGTATTTATTATTTTTTTCTAAAGATCAAAAAGGACATTAATAGATAATTAATCTTGAAATTTTTCAGATTCTCTATTAACGAATTTCAAAATATTTGGGGAGTATTATGTTTTCACTTACTACGTCAAATAAAGAAATTGATTTGTTTAAGAAAATGTTCACACATTACGTACCTTACTCAGTAAATATTATTATTAAGACAAAATAAAATTACTTTTAACAACGTTTTCATTAATTCAACACCAGGTAATCAAAGACGAGAGGAAAAACAAAATTGTCGTAATAACCTAAAGGCAACTAATTTCCTGACACTTTGACATGAACACAGCATTTCATTATTAAAAATTCTCATGTAGTAATTCGTAACAACTTTGGCTGCCAGTAGCCTAACGTAGGCGCGTAATAAAGCGGTGAGAGAAATGAGGCCATAAACGGGCGCGGGTTCGGGCTGCCGGAGTGCCGGCTTGAGGCAGCGGGTGGATGCTGAGCTGGATTGCGTAACGTTTTGCTTGACGCTCAACGCCCCCAATTATGAGCAGCCAGGCGGATAAACTCCTGCCGGTTGCGAAACTCAACAAGAGATTCCGTCTAGCGGAATAAGAACACTCGAGGGTGTACGAGACGGCGTTACTAGGATAAATTCATGTGAAGCTTATCATATTTCACAGAAAAATATCAACTATTTTTTAACATTTTCGATTGGTGTTATTCATTTTTTTCAGTCAATGGATTCAAAAACTGCAAGAAATTTTTTTTTTCAATTTAAAGCAGCAAACTGAATCGTGCATCTTAAACATGCTTGAGAGTCTCAAACAGTTCCTCGATTCCTCCAGAGATGGCGTTGTCATCAACTACAGATACGTATTGGGTCGACCAATATTACATTAACAATTATATCCGTATGAGAATAAAACTATCTGAAATAAACAAGTTCATCATTTAGCCCACAGAACCACGAACCGCATCAGCTTAAATATAATTTTTGTAGAATATGTTAATATTCTTTCCGCAACTTATGATTCTCGATGAACTGATGGCACAATTTACAAATTCTTATTGTTACAAGGTTCCGTAAAATACGATTGCAGGATATCTTAGATTCAAAAATTGAAAGCAGTGAACCTATTTCATTTGTTTTTTTCGCTGTTCGCTCACTGTATCTTATTACCGTGTTTAAAGAGGTTCTTGGAAAGAAAAAGGAAACAATTTTCCTAGAATTTTTCTTAAACATCGACACGAGCTAATAAATAAAACGTTACTTTTGGACAGTTGACCTACATTATACTAATTAAATTTTTTGATTGAATTTTTTCAAGAACACCTATTAAATATTTGGAATTAATGTGTAAATTATATACAAACCTCTTCAATATTTGTGACTACCTCCCAAATCCACTCGTATATTCAATACTGCTGTACCTGACGACGTCGAGTGTGTCGGGGTCGTAGACGCAGTTCCTGCGCGGGTCGAAGATGCCGTCGCCTGCGTCGTAGCAGCCGGGGGGCACGGGCCGCGGCGGGTGCGCGTTGGTGAGCTGCGACCGCCCGGCCGGGCGCAGGCCTTGCTGGATCTCCGTGTAGAACCTGCGTTCGCACGACACGACTCGCTCTACCTTCACAGTCCAATTGACTCGTGGGGTCACCGTGGATTCGAAATAGAAATGCCCGATTTCGCCCCGAGGAGGGTCACAGTCCGACGACCGAAACGCTGGCGTCCCTGCTTGGACGCAGCGTCCCAAGGGCAACCGATATTGATATTGATATTGACTGAGCCCTCAGAAATCAACGCTTTCTTTTCAAGTCGTTTTGAAGCTTTTACTTATCTATGTAAGTTATGATGGGCGCGTGTACAAATGACATGGTATATTGTCATTCGTTCGTTGCTTGTATCACAAGTAGCGGGGTTCTTGTAATTTAAATAGATGAAGGTTACTAAATGTACTCTACGAGATGGCATAAACGCCATTTTGCTCTATTCTCATGTGATTGTTCCGCCAAAAAATTCAATAATGTAACTTTTTAATAGCTTAACAACTTAATAATAACACCTCTCACGTTGTTAAAATTTAGAATATTAGCAATTACGTTCAAGTGTTCGTGTCCCGATGATGGAGGATTTTCGATACTAGGTACATAGCTAGTTCACTTTCAGTCGTTTCTGGGGGAGAATTTTGGTTGCCGTGTACTCTTGATATGATGTTTTCCGTGGATTGTTCTATCTATACAAGGCTAATGATGGAGCAGTACCCTAAAGACGCGCCACGGTCCGCGCGCAATCTTCCCTTCCTCTCCCCAAATACACATACTGAGAAATACTACACTACCATACCCATCGGGAGACCTGAGCCTCTTCCGGCAGGGAAACGTTGACGTGCCCGGAAATATATATCAAACAGTAACCAAGAGCGATTCATCTCGACATCAGGTCCCAGCGGGGAGATAGACGTCCACAACACAGCAACGTCCAGTTTCTTAAGATGGTGTGAAAACGTGCAAAAGTAAAGATATAAAATTTCTGGAATTTTCTTCCGATACGTCTTTTCTTCACCAAAATGCTTGTGGTAGATACGTACGAAGTGCGGTTATGCGTAGGGCACGTCAGGGTTGACATAATATGAGCCAAATAGTGACTAATACGTGACCAAAATGTAACCCAAGATGTTTTGACCTGACGTTCACGACCGAATCGGAAGGGGAAGGCTCTGGTTCGTCCGTAGGACACTGATAAAAATGGCATGTGATTCCTGAAATTTGATTGGGTTGATGAATATTCGGGCACTTTCTTTCAGAATGGGTCTTTCCTCGGGCGCGCGCACGGTGCGTACCTGCGGTCGGGCATCATGCAGTAGGGCCCGTCGGGGTCGAAGTTGAGGCCGTCGGAGGCGATGTAGGCGGGCTGCAGGAGGCGCCCGCGCTCCCACGTGCCGCGAATGACGGCGCCGTTGGGGTAGTGGATGGCGCCCGAACCGTGGCACATGCCGTCCTGGAACTCGCCCTCATACTCCACCTCTGCGACAGGACACAGGACCACGCCGCGGATGAGTTTGCTTGATGGCGGGGGAGCAAGGGGTTACTGCGAGATATTGCGAAGCATGTAACGTGTTTACAAAACAGTAAGAGAGGTCCAAAAAGCTATATCGTAATGCATTGATTTTTGCAATTTTATTTCACATTACAACTTTTACTAGCAAAATGCCGCTTTCGATACACATGACCTTATACAAGTGCTCCCGACTCCACTGTCTGCTTTGGCATGATATTGCCAGCCATTGCTCAATATCAAATTATGCGATTATATATTTCCAAATGTCGTAGCTCAATTTCATAATCCACAGCGTGTTCTCGCATTCATATTAAATGTTTCGATAACTAAACCACAAAAAAATAATTTACATATTAGCAATAGTTACAATACACAAATATAGTTGTCATATTCTTACACACACTATAAACTTAGTTTAATGTTATAATTATATTAGGATTATTACAATTGACCTACAAAATTATATTTTTAATGTAATTCGAATTCAAACATGACTTTAATAATATAATTGTGAACGCGGTCAGAAAGAACGTGATTAATTTATTAATTGATCAGAATACAGCAATATTCCGATGGGCCGCACAAACACGCCGACGGCGTCCACGCCAAGCTGATTTCGCTCACCAAGTAGAGCGTTTTCCAGTTGTCGCTATCGACGTTGGTCCTCTCCCTAGCAGTGCTCAACGTCAATAAATCCATTCTCCATTAGAAGTCGCTATCGCTGCACTGGCGAGTTCCCGGTATTCCACGGTCGAGTCGGCCGCTGCGCAGCGCCTGGGCGCGAGGAAGCGCCTTCCAAATTCGCTCCGGAGCGGAATCTCAAACAGCGCGGGCGCTGGCGGCGCTCCAGGCGGCCGGCGCTGGAATGCGCCCGCTGGCGGCGGCGGCGGCGGCGGCGGCACGGGCTTCAGGGCGGAGGCGCTGCTGCGGCCAACGGCCGCGTCCACGTTGCCGCCTCTGTTGCGGGCGCGCCCAGTCGCCACCGCGCAACTCGCCATTATCCGAGTCCCGATTAAGCGAGCTAGTAGACTCACAACTATCTGAGTTCCGATTAAACGAGATAATACCCTCACTATTATCCGAATCCCGATTTATGAGAGATAGTACACTCTCTATTATCCAAATCCTGAGTAATCGAGGTAGTAGACCCCATAATTATTCGAGTACCGATTAACACAGGCCGGGCCCTCACCATTATCCAAGTCCTGAGTAATTGAGACAGTAGACTTGCCATTACACGTGTCCAGATTAATCGAAGCTTGCAATAATGTAAGCACATTCATACTGTGCCGATTAAGCGAGGCAATAGATTTGCCCTTATCCGACACCCGATTAATCGAAACAATACTCTCTCCATTATCCGAGTGTTGATTAATCGAGGCATTATCAGTAACTACCCATTGGCAAAAGAGAAGCATGTCTGTCAGTCAGTTGCTGTAGTAGTCTCAAGTCGGGTTGTGCGCTGGATTGCCGTCTCGTCACCGATTCTTGTAGGTTTTGCACAAGAATGGGATGGACAAGCATATGTAACAATGAATATTAACATTCGTAATGTTGAAGAGTTTGGACATAAACCTGACAACAATATAAATATATAGCAAATACCGCCAAATGAATCAGAACGAGATGTGAACAATATGGTCAGTGCACAATATTCGCAAGTTCAGAAGTCTTCATAAAAAAAAAATTCCACCGCGCATCCAGTTTGACACACTCCAACATTTCGGCTTTTGAGCATCGCTTGGGGCCGTGGGCCTAAAGACGACTGCTGCTTCCTCGTTTGCGAAACTCCGACCGGACAAGCAGTGCTCCGCGCTGTACGCGTGGCCCAACGACAGTTTTTGAGAGGGTTCCGAAAATATTCGACTTCGTCAGTCACATCGCAGCGACATCCCGTAAGGATGTGACAAAAAACCACAAGACAGATGAGCATGATTACCGGAGTTACTTCACAAGGGAAGCGAGAAGAGACAACGTTGCCAGAACGTGGCAGCGATTATACAGATACACGCCGACTGAGAGTGTAACAAGGACACTTTCTCCCATTCCATATTTCTTTCACCAACTCGCTTGTGCAAAGATATTACCTTGGATGCAGCTAAATCCAATGTAGTAAGGGGAAACGTAGTTATTTCTATGATTTGGACTTATTTTGCAGATAATAAAAATTGGTGACAAATTCAATTAATCAGGAGCAAACATTTCCACAGTCATATTCTGGCTCATATTTCACACAAGTTTCTTTAATGATGGGTAGGTTAATTTTGGGTAAACAAGAATCACTCGAAATTATAGCTTATGAATAATATAATAACCATTCTAAGATAGTTTGATTGATCCCTTCCTTTTCTCAGAATCTACTATGTCGATCAACAGAATCATCATACGAGTGCACGAGTGCATTGAAATTGTCGACAAATTCCCGAGGAAGACTCGCGGAGCGAGAAGGGGATTAATCTAATATTTTCCAAAGCACGAGTGATATTTAATAGGACGTATTCCAGATGAAATTATGTCCAACAGAGTTTCAATATGTGCTACATACTGAAACTAACTGAATGCTATTTTAAAATCAAAGAGGTTATGTTATAGTGCATACGCAGTATATTGCACATCGATATAGCGATTGTTGTACACGGCCTCCTAAGATACATAAGTCCCAGCTTATGATTGGTCAGTAGGGAGAAGCGGTAAGAAAAATCGTATAGAAAAAGTGATAAACTTTTTTAGACACACCGCCCTGATTAGGGCTCTTTGTATGTGTAGTTAAACGCTGTTGGTTTTAATTTCACTCTTGGAATAGTCTTGATAAATGGCCTGAAGGAAATTTGCCGGGAATGATGGCAACGTTTCAAATAAAAAATCCATTTAAGATTTAAGACAACTTGTTTAAATAACATCGTTAGTGAAGGAGAATAATGTGAGACGAGTATAATGTAATTAATGAATATTTATTTATGACATTTTTGCTCTTTCCATGAATCAGTTGATCTTGTCTAAACGCTATCCTATTAGCTCTTTCTACATTTTCCTCTTTAGCCAGCAACATTCACGACAAGCACTGTAGTAAGTGCTTTGGAATATTGCAGGAGTGGAGATCTCGAAAAAGAAAAACATGCTAAGGATTCAGACGAGTTTTATCCAAAAAACGCACAGCAAAATGCTATCCCCGTTCTAAGTAAGAATGAAGGAATCTTAAGACACGAAATGTCCAGAAAATTTGCACTATACTGAGAAGTATAATGTCATGAAAACACTGAAATATAACTATGTATAAGTTGGTATAACGCACAAATTAACATGCCTATAAATGAATTGTATCTTTAAAAGTGATTTGTGAATGTCTATTGTGTATGTTTGCATCTAATATTCTCATATTGGACGAAATTTGCAATTCTTTAATTAAAAACCCTTTATTTAGCACACGGAGCACCAGTTATTTTTACTATAATTGTCGCATACCTGAACCGTCTGCGACTATTGTTGAAATCATCACTGTACTCGTTCATTTCTCTCGAAGACACTTAC